ATAGTTAATTTGATACTAATATTGCTTATTTTTATCAAAATTTTATGATATCTTTAAATTTATATTTCATTCAAAAATAAAAATATTTTATTTTTCTCAAAACCACATAAAATCGCATTATAACATTGATAGACTCAAAATATAAAACGAAATATTAAAATCAAGATGTATCTCGCTGCATTGCGCGAGTGTTCTTCTAGTAAATATATAATTTGCGCATGCATTCATTTGTTGTCGTTGTTTAATTTTTTTCCACAAATATTAAATTTTGATTTTTGAGTAACATAAGAATATATATATATATATATATATATATATATATATATATATTGGTTATTATACAACCCATGACATTTGTGCAACCAATACAACTCAATCTCAACCGTCCATTTCAATTGATTAATATGTGATTTCGTAAAAGTTTTGATTGTTTCATAATATAAAGTATTGATCATAATTAATGAACCATATTCATCTTTCATAAATATTCAAATCATAATAAATGAACTCTCATCATTTTCATAAATATATCAATTTATTGGGTTGCATTGGTTGTACAAATGCTACATGTTGTATTTGAAACAAACCCTATATATATTATATATATATATATATGTATATAATATTTATAGGTTTTTTTTAAGGAGACAATTTATATTCTTACAATACAACAAATACTAAAAATATTCATATATCTAGAGAACATACAAAAATAATTTCAAAAGAAATTTAAAAATATTGGTCTTAGAACGTTAGAACGAGATATTGGTTTGCGTCATCAAATTTATGATTATCCTGTAAATCAAGTTAACGTGGTTTTACGAGCTTATAATATATCAACACACAAATATATATACTTGGGATCACGTGAGATCAGTATGTTTTTGTGAGACCCGTGAGACCACTTTTTTACACTTGAAACTTCATAGCAAAACGCTGTGAAGGTAACTTTGACAGTGTTTTTTGTTGTGAAGGTTCAGCTTTTGTTTACATTCATAGCGTTTTGCTGTGAAGGTTCAAGTACAAAAAATTGGTCTCACGGGTCTCACGAAAACATGATGGTCTCACGTGAATCCAACCCTATATAAACTTAGGATCATATAAGACAAACTTATTTTCGTGAGACCTGTATGACCATCTATTTATACTTGAAACTCCACAGTAAAACACTACAAAATGTATCATAGTGATAATGTTCATAATGTTTCACGTGTATCACAATGCATTTTCTTTGTTTTATAAAATGTATCATACTATGTATTTTCATTGATTTACAAATGGTGTCACATTATGCATCTTGTATGTATATCTGGGTATCACAATGAATTCGTTTGTACGTATTAGAGTGTGTATCTTGTGTTCACATAAGGTTCATCAAAATAAAGTTCACCGGAGAGAGGAAAGAGGAGAGATGAAAGATGATATTTATAAAATTCTTAAAATGCTCTTAATTAATATTTTTAAGTTAAAATTACCAAAATTATTATTTTCCTAATTTAACATTTGATTTGTGATTGAGATTGGACTTCACGATTATCACAAACTAATTAGTTCTCATTTGATT